AGCCAGTGAGTGCTGTGAGCGCACCGGTCATCCCTATATAGGATCCGAACCCGCGGTGGGACCGCTGCTGCGCTCCCAGCACCGCACCCTCCCGAGTGCGCCACGGGCTCGGCCCAAAGCTTGGGTTCTTAACACCCAAGCCAAACTACCTCTGAGGAGGTGGGCTGTCTTCCTGGGCAGGCAGTAGGACTTGGAGGAGGGCTAATGTCGTTCTGGGTTAACTGGCCTGCTTCATCTCGGTCTTCCCTACTTCAGGGAAGCTCGTGGGCTGTGCCATCATCCATGTCAATGGAGACAGCCCAGAGGAAGTGGTCCGTGCCACACGACTGGCTTTTGAATACCAGCGCCGATTCCGCAAGGATGTGATTATTGATTTGCTCTGCTACAGGCAGTGGGGCCACAACGAGCTGGATGAGCCTTTCTTTACCAACCCAGTCATGTACAAAATCATCAGGTACAATGATAAAGTGTCCTTTAATATACCTCCCCCCTTCCCCTATATTGCTTGCATTATTATTGTTCTTTTTTTGGCAGCTGGCAGGTACGGGGATCTGAACCCTTGACTTTGGCGTTACAACACCATGCTCTAACTAACTTAGCTAACCCACCAACCCTTTTATTTTTAACAGAAACTCTCAGCTACGGTGACCAACTTCCCTGGTTTGCCTGGGACATGAAACTTTCAGTGCTAAAAGTGGGACAGTCCTGGGCAAACTGGGATGGTCACCCTATGGGTCTCAGAAGAGCCTCTTATATTCTTCAAATGCTACATGTTTCCTCATGTATGGGAATGGGCAACTTAACAACTCATCTAGCAGATGGAAAGACTGAAGTAGGAAGACTTAGGCAAGCCTTGCCCGAAGCTACTGAGTATGGTGTTGGCAGGATCAGAAATAGAACCTCTATGTTTTTTTTGACAAATCATAGATGTGGACCTGTTTTGTGCCTTGGCAAGAGGTAACACGAAGGATTTTAATGGATGTTTAGAATGGCACTGTCTGAGATGGAAGCCATTAGCCATAGGTGGCTACTGAGTACTAGAAATGTGGCCAGTCCTGATTGGCCGGTTAGCTCACTTGGTAGAGCATGGTGCTGATAACACTAAGGTCAAGGGTTTGGATCCCTGTACCAGCCAGCTGTCAAAAAAAAAAAAAAGAAATGTGGCTAGTCCTGAATGAGATGTACTGTAAGTGTAATATAAATACCAGATTTCAAATACTTAGTATATAAACTATAAACATAAAATATCTCAATAATGTTCATATTAATTAGATATTGAAATGACAACATTTGGGGTATATTGACTTAAATAAACTGTATTATTAAAATTTGTTCCACCTGTTCCTTTGACTTTTCCTATGTGATTGCCAGAAAATTTAAAATTACACATGTGGCTTGTATTTTATTTCTACTGGCCAGCACTGATTGAGAAGGTTAATGTGAAAGAGAGTGAACGTGTTGCTTTGGAATTTCTTTTTCTATATACTAGAATGTAAAATAGTTCTCCCTCCCCCACTTTATTTCCTCATAGATACAAATTAAAGCAGAGAATAATTTACGGGCCTTTCTGGTCACAAGTAGCAGGAGGAGTGCTACTCTAAGGAGAACAAATCTGGGGTCTCCATTTATCTCTGAACTTAGCAGCTGAATGACTCCATGTGCCTCCGGGGCCCCTTTAAGAAAATCTATCCTGTCTTCCTCTCACTCTTGTCAGGATTAAATATGCTAATATGCATGAATCATCTTTATAGTTCCAAGTATTATATGAATGTGGTAGGGCATTATTATTGTCATAACACCCTGGTGCTATTATAAAGGAGTATTAAGGCCACCTGACACAGGTGTTAGCAACTTGGAGTTTGACACTTTTAAAGAGAATACTCAGTGTGAGTCAGTCTTGTAAATAACTGTCCAGAATTTACAAACTTATAGAAAAACTCCACTAATTATTTCTATCTGGATATAGATAAAACTTTATAAAGATAAATCTGTTTTCTCTTGCTTGCCTGGAAAAGGTTGTTACTCACGAGTGCCTTTAATTTATTAATTAAAATGTAAAATTTTTAATTATTTATTTTGTTTTATTAACTTGTTGAGGTGAAAGTCACATCATTCAAATTGACTTTATTTTGTTTTGGTGGCTGGCTAGTGCAGGTATTGAACCCTAGACCTTGGTGGTGTTAGCACCACGATCTAACCAACTGAGCTAACTGGTCAGCCCCAAATTGACTGTTTTAAAACGAACAGTTCAGTGGCATTTACTACATTCACAATGTTGGGCAGCTACCACTTCTTTCTAGTTCCAAAACATTTCCTGGGTGTCTTTTTATTTTATTTTTATTTTGGGTGGCTGGTTGGAGTGCCTTTTTACAGCGATGGCACTCTATAATGCTTTTGACAATGGCTGTCTCTGTCTGCCTTAGATTTTTACAGATCAGATTGATTTTCCCCCCTCTTTCTTGGACAGAGCCCGCAAGAGCATTCCAGACACATATGCAGAGCACCTTATGGCCAATGGACTCATGACCCAGGAGGAGGTGTCTGAAATAAAAGCTTCCTACTATGCCAAGTTAAATGACCACTTAAGTAACATGGCCCACTACAGCCCTCCTGCCACTAACCTGCAGGCCCATTGGCAGGGCCTGGTCCAGCCAGAAGCTCATATCACCACCTGGAACACAGGTGTGCCCCTCGACCTCCTGCGGTTTATTGGCATGAAGTCTGTGGAGGTGCCCAAGGAACTCCAGATGCATAGTCACCTTCTAAAGATGTATGTGCAGGTGGGGAGCATTGAAATCACTGGATATTGCTTTTTCTTCTTGCTCAGCAAAGGAATTGATGTTGGTCTGGTCTTTTTGGTTGGCTAATTCATTTGACAAATATTTGTTGTGTGTCATTAGGTTCTAGGAACTGATCCTAGCATTGTTTTGATACTGATAGTCAATTAACTCAGATTTCTCTACTTGTATTTTTTCTTCATGTATTTATTTACACAACTTTAATACATTACATATACATGGAATACATGCATGTTATAAAAAATAGAGAAATACAGGAATGTCTGTTTTGATTTTTCCAGCCAATGAGCAGAAAATACTTTCTTTGGGTTGGTTTTAATGAAAGTAACAAAAATCAACACACATACCCTGAAGGTAACCATTTAGACCCTAAACATGCTGAGGTTTTACATATAGTCTTATGGTAACTGTAAGATGACAAACTGTCCTGGTTTGCCTGGGACTTAGGGGTTCTCTAGAGACTTTCAGTACTAAAACCAGGAGAGCAAAGAATTAAAGGTCTTTGTATTTCTTAAGCTTGGATGAAGGAACTTTGCCCTCTGAATTATTTTAAAACACTAACTTTGTTAAGTTTTTATGATAGGTATGGAGACTATGTACTTTCCATTCCCCTTAAGAGCTAGGATATTACAAATACATTTCCCCATGTACCCCTCCTTGATTCCATCTCCTCTGCCCTCCACAGAAGTAACCACTAACCTGAAGTGCATGTTTGTTTTGCCTGTTTTAAAACTTTGTAATTGGTAAAATATCTGTCTGCATTCTCTGATTTTGTCCAACAGTGTGGTATTTTTCCTTTTTGTTTTGTTTGTTTTTTGGTGGCTGGCTGGTACAGGGATCTGAACCCTTGACCTTGGTGTTATAACGCTGCACTCTAACCAACTGAAACAACATTATGGTTTTGATACTTACCTTTGTTGCACTACATTTTTTGAACTCAATGTGATAAAGGATGTGGATTCTTAAAAGCTCCTTTTTTCCTCCTCTTCAATGTTACAGTCCAGAATAGAGAAAGTGATGGACGGGACAAAGCTAGACTGGGCCACGGCAGAAGCTCTTGCCCTGGGTTCCTTACTTGCTCAAGGTAAGCAGTTTCTGTTTAGCTGCAGAGGTGGTAGAGAATGCTTTCAGTGACTTTTGTTACATGTGACCTCTGCAGTATTTTGAATTGCAATGACTCCTGTCATTTTCATTGACTTGAGAGGTTCTAAAACATGTTAACTTTTCTTACCTGACAATATTACTTAATTTCAGTGTAAGTCATGNTGGATTCTTAAAAGCTCCTTTTTTCCTCCTCTTCAATGTTACAGTCCAGAATAGAGAAAGTGATGGACGGGACAAAGCTAGACTGGGCCACGGCAGAAGCTCTTGCCCTGGGTTCCTTACTTGCTCAAGGTAAGCAGTTTCTGTTTAGCTGCAGAGGTGGTAGAGAATGCTTTCAGTGACTTTTGTTACATGTGACCTCTGCAGTATTTTGAATTGCAATGACTCCTGTCATTTTCATTGACTTGAGAGGTTCTAAAACATGTTAACTTTTCTTACCTGACAATATTACTTAATTTCAGTGTAAGTCATGTTGACAGACTTCATCAGAGTAGGCTCTAGAGCAGTTATGACAAAGGGCTCAGTGCTGGGTGTATTGAAAAGATATTTTTCTCTAAAAATTGTGGGGCAAGTGGTGACTCTCCATTCTTATACAATCTCACCTTGACTATAGACTACAGGACAGGTATATTTTAATAAAGAGAATCGATTATCCTAAGGAAAATTCTGAGGATGAGCCAATGTATAAGAATTCAGAGTCACCATGCCTTATTATTACTTAAGTTATTCATGGGAATCAGGATTTTTTTCTTTCTTCCTAAGGTTTTAATGTCCGTCTGAGTGGCCAGGATGTTGGCCGTGGAACTTTTAGTCAGAGACATGCGATGGTGGTTTGTCAGGAGACCGATGACACCTACATCCCTCTGAACCATATGGACCCTAATCAGAAGGGCTTTCTAGAGGTAGGATGTTTTAAAATCTATTGTAACGTCCAGGTGCCAATTATTAAAGTTTCAGGATTCTTTTTTTTTTTTTTTTTTCTTTTTCCGTGTCCGGCAACGGATCGCAACCCTCAGTGTTGCC